AGTGTTAGAGTACACAAAACAGGGGTATTTTGGTCATTTGGGTTTATCTATTTGAGAGTGAAAGGTCTGTTTTATTTAAGTTTAAGTGATGTGTCCCATCACTTATGAGGGACAATATGGTCTTTCTTGTAACTATGTTATTGGAGATAAATACAAGTGGGTCGATTAGAGAGAGGACTGATTTTCCTCTACTGGCCAAACCCTTCTTCTTCTTCTCCTTCTTCTCTACTGTAACCTATGACTAAATAAGGTTTTCACACAAATAAAATATATTTTCAACATGCACCACTCTCCTGAAATTCTCAGATGATGGATCTCTCCAAATGGTACCTCTTAAGCCAAGGAAAAAAGTTTGTAAAAGAAGGTTTAATTGCCTAGACTGGGATTCTTCTTGAAGATGCCACCTGGGAATCACGTTCATATATTCAGCAGCAGTACCCTGGCTTCAACCTTGAGGACAAAGTTGCTTTTGAGGGGAGGGTAATTGATGAGAACCCACAGGACCCACCATCACAAGCCACTACTCAGGCCCATGATACGGCCCATGTGAGCAGCCCACAGACTACAGGTGCAGCACCCACCCCATGTTCATTTCGTTTTGGCTATACTTGAAGGCAGAAGGAATACACCAGCTGATTAGTTAGAACCTGCATGTGTGAAGTTAGAATTGGTTAGGGCAGAGTAATGGGTAATGATTGTAATAAAGAAAGCTGAGGAAGAGGAGTTATGCCGAGTTTTATCCCAATTCCCTTCTCGGTTCTTATCTTCTTCTTGAAGGAGGTGAACTCCCTTGAAGTGAAGTGGTTCAACACAAAAATTAGCTGAAAAATATTCAAATAATTGCAACTGTCAGTTATTATTTGTATCAAAGTTCTTCTAAAAATACCTCATCAGCCACTAAAGCTGTGTTTGCTACATTGGTTTGAAAGAAATGGCAGGGACAGGAAGGTAAATGTAGGGAAACATGCCTAGAAAAGTGCATGGATTCCCTACCTTTTCTTTCAAACCAAAGACAGCCTAAGGATTTCATGCATCAGGGTTCTGCCATCTGTACAACCATGCTGATGTCATAAAACAACATGCTGACATAGCAGGTTCCTGTGTGAGAACTCAGAATAAAGGGAGAAAAAATTTTAGTTGACTTCTTAGATCAGTGTTCTGATACTGTGTTGTAATTTAGTGTGGTTTTGAGTTAATGTAATCAAAGAAGAGAGATTTCAGGGAAATGTATTCATGGCGTGATGCTCCATTCTATTTACATATATACCTAAATTTACAAGGTATGAAAAACGTAAATGCTTCCATTATTAAATATTAGATATAAGACAAAAACACCCTTTCTTTCATTCTCTAGACTACAATTTCCCACCACAGGTACACAAACCTGAATCTATCTTTATGTTTGCTATGCTTAAATGTTATATAATCTAGTTCATATTTTCATTACTAAGTTCTGCACTATATGCTTTGTGTAACAGTTTTGATGACTTTTTGATGGACATGAAGCAAAGTAAACGGAAAAATATTCGTCAAGAGAGGAAGAAGGTAAATGTAATATGAATGCTTCTTGAATTGGTATATTTTCAGTATGTAGATTCAGTTAATTAATTGTACGAAAATCCTGAAAATTTGACACTGTCAATTGTCATGCAACTGATCTCCATAACTGGTAAAACTATTTGAGTGAGATAAGGATATGTATTGTTAAATTGTATGGTCTCGTAATTTTTTTTTGATCAATACCAGTGAATTTTATTAAGGATTGAGAAATTGCATGGCAAAGGAGCTAAAAAATCTAAACTCCCTAATACACCAATGTACACCCAAACCTTAAAACAATTACAAAACAGCCCAAAACATAGAGTTTCTGTTCACCCCTTGCCTAGCTAAACCATTTGCCAATGAATTTGCACTTCTCTTTACCCATGTATAATGAACTTCAATGTCCTTAGTCAGCCACTTAAATTTCCTCTTTTCATTGCTGTAATTCAGAGCTTAGAGTTGTCCTCTTTTAGCCAGTTCACCACAATTTCAGAATCACCTTCTGTGATCAATTTTTTAATATGCATGTCCTAGACCCTTTGTATCCCTTCAAGAGCTCCTAGTATCTCAGCCCTCAAGGAATCTCCCACCCCAATTGGACCAGAATACACAGCTAACAGATTCCCTTTTTCATCTCTTATCACTCCCCCTATTCCAGAGGGTCCTGGATTGCCCATACCGCTGCCATCAGAATTCTGTTGGGTAAAGCTGTGAAGTGGAGGGTTCCAGCAAGAGCTTGAAGCCTTCTTAGCTGAAGCTGATTCTGCAATCTCCTTCCAATTTCTTAGCATCTCATCAATTGAATAATCTCCAATATTACTTCCAAGCTTCTCTCCTTATCTGAAAAAAATCCATGAATTTCTCTCATCCCAAACAGTCCAACAAACTGCAGCCCTAACACATTTCCACATGATCTTGGCCCTTTTTGTTGGCCAGTTAGGCATGGAAGTGAATAAGCTTTGCACATTCAAAGGGGGAGTCCACCTGCACCTAAATAGAGAAGTAAACCATTCCCAAATGACTTTAGCAAACTGTCAGGAAATTAGTAAATGGTATCCAGACTCACCATGAGATTTACAGAGGACACACCAGTGAGGAGACAAACAGCTATTGGGTCTTTTTCTTTGAAGTAAATCTCCTGTATTAACTCTTTCTAGAAGGGCTTCCCAACAGAAGCTCACAACCTTTGGAGGTATAGGTTGACACCTCACCTCTTTAACAGGGAAGGACAGTCCAACAGAAGAAGGTTGTATTAGGGCCTTAAATAAAGAGGCACAGGTGTAGGAACCCGAGGGAGTGAGTGTCCAAATTCTATTGTCTGCCTTTGTTGTCTCTAGGAAGACCCCTTCAAGGATGGATAATAAGGCTGAAGTACATCCTAACTCTGTGTCCCTGATATCTCTTCTCAAACCCAGGTTCCAGCCGAATCCAAAAGGTGAGTTAGAAGGTACAAGGAAAGAGGAAACTGGTTCATTTTTCAGTATTTTGTATGGTCTCATACATATTAAGTTGAAGTATGTCATTAGAGGTATTTCATATTTCAGTATTTTGTAATGTACACAACATATAAATGGTCTAAGGGCTGAGATGCCTAACTGATTTTTCTTTTCCCCAAAATTGTGAATTTCTTCCCCTCTGTCTTCTTGGGATGGGTAGACTGGATATGGAAATAACCTTTTATTCACTTTATTATACTTATGAAATCTGAACAGAAAGACAAGTTGGTATTGGACGAGAGATCTTGGGTTAGCATACTGCATGAAGTTTTGAGATGGCTGACCTTTTGTACATGAATTGTTTTTTTTTTTTTGTTGTTTTTTTCTAGTTATTTTGTGGATCATATCATGCCTAGAAAAGGATCATACTTCCTAGAGACTTGTCCTTACAAAAATTGGAAACTTATTATCTTTTGATCCTTGGAATATTTCTAGAACTACAGAATCAATCATGAAGCTATTTTTAGAAAGGAGTGTAAGCCAATAGGGATTAACTGGATGGTTCCTCCTCATATCTAGTACCAGATTCATCAAACCATCTGCTGCCCTATTATTTTTCTTGTACATCTGTTGAAATGTTACCCCTTGAATACATATGCACAACTGCCTCCATTCATCATAGACTCTCCAGTTAAGCTTTGCTGAATTACTGAGTGCATTCACCGGTACCAATCAGTTGCATTTCAGGATTAAATTATAGATTTGCCTGCCAATAGAGATTCTTTTTTTTTTTTTTTACTTTTTCATTTTTAGCTCTGCAACATGTCAGATCAATTATACATTTGAAATAGCTGAAATTAGACTTCTTTCTCATTTCTCAATACATCTTCACTGCTGCTTAGGCCCAAGTTGTCTCTTTCTGCACCACCAATATTGAGTTTTACCTAACCTGTCTGTTTATTAGGAAACTATTAGCTGAAGCTTGGCTTGTTCTGGCACTAACTTTTATGTGGTTGTTTTGTGCATCAACACAGTAAATACTGCTTGGAACAGTCACTGTTTGTTTTCATTGTGTTATATTGTTGGTAGAGGAGTAATTTGAAATTTTATATTGGTTAAGAAAAATATCAATTATGAAACATAATTCCCTTGTGCAGATTTCTGCTCAAAACTTGAGAATGAAACGACTTCGTGGAGATGAGATAAAGGTATTTGGTGTTAATCTTGTAACTCATAGTTTCAGATATTTATATGATTACAGTATCACTGGTCTGGTTGTTCAAAATTTCTGTCCTGTAGGTTTGCTGCCTACTTGCCTTCCTGTATAAAGATTCTATATGAGGAAGGTGAATGGATCCCAATGGATTTACATCCTTCACTATAGTCCAGCCATAGTAACTACCTTCTGTAGTGGGTCCCAACCCAGAAAAAGAAACAAATAATGGGAACTAGTCTGTTGTTTAATGAAAATGAGTTTCACAGATAGAATGGATAGAGTTTAGGAAGAAGAGAGTATGAATCCCATCATAGTTTTCAAGGTGCCAAGGTGAGGCTAGGTGACAGGGGGGTGACTTGTTGCCTAGTCGCCTAAGTGGATGCCTAGGTGTCGCCTATGCGATGGATTTTTTTTACATGAGTTATAGAAAATCAACATATTCATAAGAAAAAGAAGAAAGGAAAATTCAAAAAATATGGGGGGTTGAACCCCTTACTTAGTGGTTCAGCTTTTGAAGTCTTTGAGGGTTAAATACAGCATTTAGCAATGTTTGTGTTGATTAAACCCTAAAAAGTAAGAAGATAATAAAAAGAAATTAGTATATACACAAAATGAGTATTTTAGTTTAATAATATCTAATTTATAATATAATCTCATAAAATTAAGAATATAAAAGTATCTTATAGCACAATGTACAAAACTGCGTGGCGATTAGGCGAGGCAAACCTCCAAGGGTGCCTTGTTGCCTAGGCATCACCTTGGCAACTATATCCCATGCTTCAGTTGACTTGTTTTATTAAATTATGAAGAGAATAGGGATGGAATCATAGTTATCCATCCAAAGAAAAGAGAGAATAAAGATGGAAAGTTAAAATACTGCCCTTGTATGATTCAGTAAAATTAGATCTATTATAATAAAGGTCTTCAAGTACACTCTTCAGCTGAGTTTTACTTACAGCCTTTATCAACATATCTGCCAACTGGTCATCAGTCTTCATAATGGTAGGAAAGTTTCCTCGGAAGTAACTTTTCTTTTGATAGTAAAGAAAATTTGATAAAAGAAAAATAAAGGATACAAGAAAGGTGGTAAGAAATCACCTGTAAGAGAAAAGAAACAACTGCAGAACACCTCAGCCTCCCCAACCAAAGTTCACCCATTACAAAACCCCTTAACATCTGAATCATGCCCAAAAAGTTCTTCCGTGCGTTTATGAAAGATGATGTTACCAACAACTTTGTTGCAATCAATAGAAAAAAATGCAAAAGTAAAAACAGCTGACAAATACCAAAGCTAAAAACAATGAACCACTAAAATTTCTCTAAACAGGATACACACTGAAAAGCTTTGACCTTCTGTTCTAGAGAGCTTCACTTACTCATCTCACTCATCCTCATCATCTTCATCATCATCCAAACCTTATCCCAACTTTATGGGGTCAACTTTATGTATCCTATTTTGTCATTCCATTCTATTTAATGTCATTTCCATTATTAAGTTATTGGTGCTTAAGGCTGCACTTGGAAACGATGAAAATCCCGGTTCAGTACATTATTGCACCCCGGTCCATAATTGCACGTATTTGGAAACGTTGTAAAAACACCCCTAAAATCGATGTAAAAATGCAAACATGTCAGGATTTACATCGATCTTGGGGTGAAAAACTACCTCAATTTTTTCGAAGTAAAATTTCACGCTCTTCTTTCATTGAGGGAAACAGGTCAAGGGTTTACCCTTATCCACCAGAACGGTGGTTTGAGTAACGGCTATTTTCCCATATCGTCATAGCGTTTGAGATCTGAGAGTCCGATAATCTGTCTGAGTGTTCGAGCATCTGACTATGCACAAGGAAAGTGTCACACTTACTCTTGCTGCCTAGAAACTCATGGCTGGAGATTCCTAATCGTTGCAGCCAGTGATGCTGTGTTCGACAACATGGATTTCAACATCGAGAGAGGAAAGGCTGAACACTAGGACAATCTGGCCAGGTACCTATCTGGGTACAACGATCGAGGGAGGGTATATCAGACAGCTACTCGGTGCCCTTTTCCCGATGGTATCTCAACGATGCCCTGAATATCGAGCTGTTTGATTATATCTGGGTTCAGTTCTATAACAGCCACCCCTGTCAATACAGCTCCAGTAACACCGATAGCCTAAAGAGCTCTTGGAACCTGTGGACTTCAAGCATCTCAGCGAAGATCTTTCTAGGATTGTCGGCATCCCCTTGGGCATCTGGGAGTGGCTTCATCCCTGCGAATGTATTAACCTCTCAAATCGTTCTGGTGATTAAAAGGGATCTCCAAGGTATGGAGGGGTCATGCTTTTGGTCTAAGTACTTCAATGATAGAAGTAGGTACAGTTCCTCCATTATATGGGTACAGCTGTACAGTTCCTTTTGGTCCATGTCTGCTCAATGAATAGGGACGCAAGGATCAAGGGTGGAGTTATACTTGTTTTCTTTCAGATTTTATGGTGGTCCTGCAAGAAATCCAGCAGTTAGAAGGCCTGGGATCCATTCAATACTTTTTTCATTGGTGTAAGTTACCAAATACTGGAAAAAGTCTCCTGATTGATTTACATCATTGGTGCCAAATGAGAAAAGAGTAAATCAAACATAAAATAGTGAACCCATTTCTATTTAACAAAACCGGTAGAATGCCAATTTACACCTTACAAATTAGCATTTCCTTCGTTTCCAAACGCAGCCTAAATCGTTTCTTACTTCTACCCATGTCCTTTTTGGTGTACCCCTATTCCCTCTAGCCCCTTCTACCCATCTCCTTTTTGGTGCCAAATGAGAAAAAGTCTTCTATGCATGGGACTAAACCATCCTAATCTACTTTCTCTCATTTTGTCACATATTGGAGCTACTCCTAGGTTCCTAGGAATGACTTCTTTTCTGATTCTATCATTTCTAGTTTTTTCACATCCATCTCAGTCTCAATATACACATTTTTACCATACTCATTTTCTTGGACATGTTGTTTTTTGATTGACCAACACTACACTCCATGCAACATAGCTAGCCTTACAAATTATTTTGTAGAATTTTCCTATTGATTTAAGTGGTATTCGTCTATCACATGAAACTCTAGATGCACCCCTTCATTTTTACCATCATGCTCTAATTCTATGGGTGATGTCCTTTTAAATGTATCCTTTGTTATGAATTATCTAACTTCGTGAGCATGAGTTTATCTTACACCATCGGTCCCAAGCTCAGATAAAGGAGGGTTGTGGCAGGTTGGCAGCCAATTGTTGAACTTTCATGATCATAGATCTTGATTTGTCTTTTTGTGTTCATGCTAGGGTGTTTTCTAGAAATGGCACACTACATGTTAACCCGAGTGTAGTGTTAAATAGGCAAGATGCCAGGACGGTTCCCAGAAGTGACCTATCACAACAATGCCTTGTTGTTGTGTTAAATAGGCAAGGGTTCCTGTATCCTTCTAGACGGGGGTGGATAAAGAAACCATTCCTAGAAACATGTCTTTATTTGGTTACTGGAAATGTAGGAAAATTAACAAGAAAGATTATGAAATTAGTAGACACTATGAAGAGAAGTAATATTGCATGCTTACAAGAAAATAAATGGAAGGGTAAAAAAGCTAAAGAAATTGATGGTAACAAACTATGGTACACGGGAGAAGTAAATAATAGAAATGGAGTAGCAATAATAGTAGACAAGGATTTAAAAAAATGAAATTATAAATGTTAAATGAATTAAAGATAGAATAAGTTTTAATTGGACTTGTTTTAGATGAGGAAATCATTAACACAATTAGTGCTTATGCATCTCAAGTGGAACCAGAGGTTTCTGCATGAACTGACTTACCACATTAACCGCAAATGAAATGTCTGGCCGAGTAATGGTTAGGTAGTTCAGTTTACCTACAAGCTGCCGGTACCTACCAGGGTCTTCAAACTCTTCACCTATATCACTGCTCAACTTAGTGTTTGTTTCCATAGGTGTTTCAGCTGGTTTAGCACCTAACAAACATGTTTCTTCYARMAAATCAAKRACATATTTCCTYTGACACAAGTTAATACCATGCTTAGACCTTGCTACTTCTATCCCCAAGAATATTTTAGTTTACCAAGGTCCTTTGTCTGAAAATGTTCCTGTAGAAAGGTTTTCAACCTATCAATTCCCACTTTATCATTCCCGGTAATAACAATATCATCTACATACACCACCAAAAGGATCTTTCCAGCCTGTGAGTCATGACTGAAGATTGAATGGTCAACTTGGCACTGTTTCATACCAAACTTCTTTACCACCTCACTGAACCTACCAAACCATACTCGAGGAGACTGTTTAAGTCCATAAATGGCCTTCTTTAGTTGACACACCTTACCATCCTCCCGGTGGTTGCTCCATATAGACCTCTTCAAGCAGATCACCGTGTAAGAAAGCATTCTTGATATCAAGCTGATAGAAGGGCCAATCATACATAACAGGAAGAGAAATCACAACACGAACTAAACCAATCTTAGCAACCAGGGAGAAGGTCTCTAGGTAGTCAATACCATAGATTTAGGAGTACCCTTTGGCAACAAGTCTAGCTTTCATCCGCTCTACACTACCATCAGGTAAGTACTTAACAGTATAAACCCACTTACAATCGACAACCTGTTTACTAGGAGGAAGAGTTGTGAGGTCCCATGTATGATTATGAGTTAGAGATGAGAGTTATTCTTCCATTGCACGGCGCCGCCCTGGAGAGGCAAGGGCTTCCTAGACATCCTTAGGGACAACAATAGAGGATAACAAGGAGATAAACTGGCGATGGGAAGCAGAAAGTTGAGTGAGAGAAACATAATTAGAAATAGGATGAAGGGTACAACTACGTTTACCTTTCCGCAAGGCAATGGGAAGTTTAAGTTCAGATACTGGGGTTGGGGCTGGTGTGGGGACAACTGTCGGATCTGTTGACGATGATGGAGCTGGAGGAGGAGCCGGTACATGTTGGCGATGTGTATACACTTGA